AGAAATGCAAACAAGTTTAAACTCCCGTTTGCAGTGGGGTGTTTTTGTTTGGCAGAACAGAATCGTTTCATCAGTATGTACTAATTACAAATATAACCTTTGGGTTAGACATGACCTAAGGCAATGCAAGCTGAAGTATGTACTACAACAGCCCGAGGTATTCCTCGAGCTCGCAGCAGCACTAGAAAAGGAGAGGAGAAAGCGGCTGTGCCCTCAAGTCCCTCTGAGCACTGCTGCTTTGATGCAGCTACAGGGCTGAAATGGGAGGTTATTTTTCTGATGTTCAGTCCTGTGTAGACGGAGCCTAAGCCAGTTCCATCCTTTCCATGTAATTTGTGGATTAACTAAGCTCTAGAGGAGCACGGTGGTTTCTGCATGCCAGCTGGAGTTTTCCAGGTCATAGCAAGCGTTATGGGGAACACACAGACGAGCAAGTTGAGCGTGTTGCAGAACTGCAGCTGATCACAGCGTGCACGAGGCTGCAAGCGCGCTCCCGCGGTGCCACCCATGGGTCCCCACGCACAGCCTGCCTTGCCGATCCCCACTGCGCTCATCCGAACGTGGTTTTGGGAAAGCAATAAAGCTTGGGGGTCCAGGACCCTAAATTGAAAGCCGTCTTGATCCAAGGCAGTTGTCCAGGCCAACACGTGGGATGGCAGCGATGCTGTAAGGACAGGACGTCTCAGGAAAACAGGTTTTTGCATTTACCTGCTCTTGCAACAGTGTCAGCAGCTCTGTGCTCCAGCACCGTGTTCCTGCAGTCCCACCACAACCTGGGGGTCCGGAGCGATGAGAACCTGCATTTCATACGTTGTGCATGTTGGAGAGCATCCCTTAGACTATCAGCAGTGCCAGGGTTTATCCCTGGCAGGAGTCGTCACCTCAGACAAGGTTAAATATCCAGCTGAACGGCAACTTTCCCCATCAGCACCCAAGAGCCTGAAAGCTCCCAACTCATAACCTGCTTCTGGTAAAACCTCGTCTCGTTTCCACAGTGTCTCTTAAGCAGTCCCTCTGAAAAGCAAATAGAAAACCCTGTGGGCTCCACAGAGCTGCAAAAACTCAATACATTATTATGCTCCTTCTCTCAATTAGCCACTTCTTCCCCAAAACGATTCCACTTGGGCACAAAAGAGAGCACAAAACCCTCAGGAAGCGCAAAGCCAAGTAGCCGGACAGCAACGCCAAGACAACAGCACGAGGAAAAACTGCCAAGAAAGTCAGGACACTGCTAGGCAGGTGATAGGCTTCAAAAAATAACCATTTTCAGGAATACTTCACCGGAAGGACCAAAACCTGCCTCAAACACCACTGCTCCCCCTGTCCCACCTGGAAGAAAAAAGGGTTTAGCAACAAGCAGCCCAATACAAAAGCGAACCCTTTACGCAGGAAAGAACGCGTGTTTATTGGCAGTAAAAACCATGGTTGGAAAAAACCTATCAGCAAAATTACACTTTTTTCTTTCTTTCTGTTGTGGAATTTACTCAGATGCATTGTAACTTAAAAAGATCTGGAAAAACCACATGCAAAAGGGTTTCTAAGTAGCAGCTAAAGTTTCTATTCCAGCATTACAAGCTATTCCAAATGATTTCCAAATTCCCAGCTATAAACTATTCCATAAACAAACAGTTTTACCTTTAAATCCCCTCCACCCACTCTATCCCAGTTAGTGCAGTGCAAAGGAAAAACCCAAGGAATTTACATATTATTTTCCAACATATTCCATTGCAATTTTGAATGTTCTGCGATGAACTAAAATATATATACAATTTTCTCACCGTCATAAAAAACATTTCCCTTCTTATTCACAGATATATATTGTGGCAAATGGCTGAATAATTACTTACAAACAATTTTTTTTTCCTTAAAAAAACAAGTTTCTTACAACAGTAAACACAAGAGATCTTTTTTGAGGAATGACCGACTTGGACATGGGGAGGGAGAGTCGCTCATCACTTTTAGGCAGCTCCTGCATCGATCACGTAGTTGGTAAGTGGCAAAGGTCCTAGATAACGCTACAGGATCTAGGGAAGAGAGATGGCTCCTCATTTCTTGCGGCAGATGCGCGTGCTCATCGAGAGGGGGTGCCCTCATTGCCACAGAATTTTGGAAAATCTGGTGTTTTTAACCAGGAGAGTCACATAAGGCTTTAGCTGGATCTGTCTGAGGCATGTGAGCATCGTGAGGGTTCCCGTGCGCGTGTGCGCATCCCACCCGCCTCAAAAACACCCTTGGCTACACCAGAACTATGGAAAACGGGCCAGGGCCCCTGCGCAGCACTGAGACCGTCGTGTTGGCTCGGCCTGGCGGAGCTCAGCGCCGAACGGTACCTTGGTAGGGCCGCGCCGCGCGGCCGCGCTCCTCTCACCGCTGCTTTGCTGCGTCCCTCGTGTGGCATCGCGTGATGCAGAACCTGCACCTGCAGCCCCAGGAGGCTTGGGGCAACATTTACCTTCGAAATAATCCGCTTCTCTTTTCAGCAACAGCCCCAAACCCTCCTCTTTGATGCCCAACACCAACCGCCCGGCCTGGAGACGCGGTGTCCCACAGCAAGGCCCCAAGGCGCGTTTGATGAGGGAACCACTTCAGGGCATGGAAGCACCAGCTCCAAAGCTGCTCATTTCATGTGCAATCTTTAAAAACAGGATAGAGGAAAGCTGCTCCTTGTCACACACACATATTTGTTCAAAACAGAGCACTTTGGAAGGAAACTGTTGAGATGGAGAGTAAAGCCAGTGCTTGGATTCCCACCTAAGAGCTCATCTACTACAGGGGGTTTCAGTTTGGAAAGCAAGAAAAGCAGAAGGACAAAGTGGTAACGCAAAGAGAGATGGATCCTCTCCCTTTACCGCAGGAGCAGGTAAAAGCCAGGGGGAGGAAGAGAAGGGAGGAGGAAGAATGCTCACAGCCCCCAAAAGTGCACACAGGTGGGGAAGAAGAGATGCTCTCACAGCCTACCGGGATCGGTCGGGATGTGATACTGTAGCCCTTACTCCTGTTGGCCCCCCGAGCTCAGCGAGGCGGCACTCGGAACCGCTGCAGGAAAAGGCAATTGCCCTGGCCAGGCTGCTCGCGTTTGCAAGGAGCTGAGGGTGACAGTGTGGGGGACCCACAGCAGCCCCTCTGTGCATACCCGGCACTCAGGGTGCTTCCCAAAGCCTTGCTTGGCTTTCTGCAACACCAGGAGACCCCTGCCAGCCAGCGGGACCAGAGCCCTCTGCCCTGAGCAAGTCTAGGGGGACTACAGGTAGTTTTAAAGAAGATGAGCTTGGGATGCCAAAGAGGGTTTTTTTCGTGCTCTGCCTGGACCTGGAGTTCTACTTCCAGCCTGGTCAAAACCGTGCCTTGTTTTGCAGCTGGATACAGAAGGAACAAACGGCCGTTTCCTTGTTCCAAGTACGGATGTCCTCGCTCCACGCTCTCACCCCAGCGATGCCGGGTGCTGCCGTTCAACCTACCAACCAGACTACCAAAATCCTCCTCCAACGGAGTCCGCTTGAGCAGCAGGTAGGTGGGAGACCGCAATTCCTCGTAGCGGCGGCTGCATCGCTCCCTCTCCTTAGGGATCTGGAAACACCTTTGCGCACCTGGGCACCAGCCCAGGAGCAACCCTTCCGCTTCGCCCTCCCACCAACACCACGGTGGATTTGAAAACACCAACGAGCTTGGAACCATCCTCTGGAGGCGACTGCATAGAGTTTTTCCACTCTGTCTGTGCAGGACGGCCTTCCCCAGGACTCTTCTGCAGCTGCTACACAGACGTTATCTGACAGACCACGAATCTTCTATACAAGTAACACAACCAAGGCCGGCGGCACCCCCTGATGCCCGCGCACACACACACACTGTACAGAGGAACTGATTGCTAAAGAGTCTGCAGGAGACACGCGGTTCCCGGCAGTCCTGGGACACGTCCGGCTGTGTTTCGCTTGGAGCCTTGGATGTTGGGACAACGGTGCGCGGTCGGCAGCGGCTCGCGCTGGGCGCTCGATGACTTCCCACCAGACATCGCCACCATCATTGTACCCCCTCCTCTTCCACGTAGGTTGAGGGAAACCAGCCGACCTGTAGGGCAAATGAGATGTGAGCAGAGGACTCAGCAGCACAAGGGGCCTCCTGTCTCGGCACTCAAGTGTCCTGCGCATGGCCACGCACAGCTCGTCACCAACAAAGGGATCCAGGCATCAAAAACCTGTCCCTTGTCAAAAATGATGCCCTTTTCTATGTATCCAAAACTGTTCACAGATCACTGTGAACTCTGCAAGGCACCCGGACAGCCCCGTGGCCTCCTGCTTTTTTCGGGGATGCCGAGCGCGTGGCTTGCAGGGCCATTCCAGCCTGCCCGGCCGCAGCCCGCTCCCATCTGCCGGCACGCGTCCGGGCGCCGCTGTCACACGCGGCACGGACGTGTCGCGCACCTGACTCGCCGGATCCGTTTACACACCAGCTCTTGCGACGCGGCAGCACGTCCGCGAGCCAAAAACAGAGCAAATGTGAGCTGGATGCAGCTGCCTCTCTCCTTTCCCTTGCTTTCTGAAAGCATTTTAGGGGAAGGCTGCAGTTAGGCAAGCTCTGCCCAACGCTGGGGCTTGACAGCAGGGAGAACCACGCGCTACAAGGATGATGTGGGACACCAGCAGCTCCAAGGCGCGCTTACCCTGCCGTTGGTCTCCCCCTTCCACCATCCCTGGTCGCCGCCTATCCTGCTGTAGATCTTCACCACGTCGCCCTCGCGCAGGGAGAGCTCCCGCATGTCCCGCGCTGCAAAGTTGTACCGCGCCACCGCCGTCCCTATGACTCGTGGCGTGAACACTGTGAGGGGACAGAACAGATGGGGTTGGGAGCCGCTCTGCCACGCGGGAGCAGCTGAAGCCTGGGGAAAGCCGGGCTAGGTTCAACCTGGGTTTTCCACCACGGTCCTTGCTTCCATTGCAGCACCACGGCCCAGCTTGGCTCAGATGTTGGGGTTGGCCTTTTGGAAACTTCTCAGCCTCCCCGCATGCTACGGTGTCAAGGTTAAGCTCGTTGCTGGCTGCACTTTAAACATCTCAATGAGGCCTGGGAAACTTGGTCCCAAAACAGACCAGTATGTGTAAAAGGACCCTGGCAACACTAATCCCAACTGATAATCCACTTATGACATAAAGCATCGGGTCTGAGATGCCCGTAGGCTCCAGGAGAGCCAGAGATGCTCCTCAAACCTCTCGTTCTTGGAGATAAGAGAATCAGAAACTGATACCGGGGAGGCTGTGCTCACCCCAAAAGCCTCTTGGGAGCCTGCCCTCCACCAGCACCACTGATCTCTGCTGCTTCAGGCCAGGGGGAGATTTCCAGGGAGATGGAAAGTGGCAGGAAGGCGCTGGAGGAGGAAGAGGGAGAAGCAGGAGAAGGGCTCAGGTCCCCAGCCCCGCGGGTCATCACAGTGTAGGAGGAAGGAGGGTAATGGTGGAGGGATGTGACGGTCCCCATGAACTGCTGAGCAAGCGCTCCAGGGAAAGCAAGGAAAAATGCAATGCACCTTTTCGACATTTGGGGAAAAAATAAAAAAATAAAACCAACCCTGAAGGGACCCTGAGTTTCAGTGAAGCTGCACTGCTGTCCCAGGACTTGCGAGCATTACAAAGCTACGAATTTAAAAAGTTTGCAAACCAAGGTTGAACTAAGCTTGGGGAAAGGCTTTGCCCAGATTTTCAGCTCTCGGGATGGATGGACATGAGGATGGCAATGGAGACGGTCCACACACACAACGCACAATCACTGCAGGTTCGTTCGTCCGGGCTGGAGAACGGAGCAAGAGTCACGACGGCTTTGAGCTCTTTCATCAGGAGCTTGCTCAGGGCACATTTCCATGCAATTAATATTCAGCAATGCTTTTATGCAGAAGTGAAGGTATAGGATCCCAAATATCCAGAATTTTATTCTAATTCCCTGAAACATTAAGTGTTCTTCCCAAATATGGTATCAAGAAAAGCTTGGATGCTTTTGCAGATCATTTTCCCCATGCAGTGTAAAGCAAATGCTGAAAGGCAAAAGCCCAAACAGGAAGAAGTGACCGGGCAACTTTTGCTCCTCCTGATTCTTCCTCAACAGGGAGGAAGATGCTGGTCTGCAACACATTGGGATCAGCAGGTTTCAAAGGCCAGGACACCCCTGTCCCTTTCTCTAGGGCATTTGAGCCACAAAGCACATTTGCCAGCACAGGTTCCCCCATCTCCTAAGCAAGGTGCTCCTGAGCAGGCTCAGATAGCAGAGCTCAAAGACTGCAGGACATTAAGATGCTCTCCTTGTGAGGCAAGGAAAAACAGTCTTGCAGACGGTGTGATGCCAATGCTCGTTCCGTGAAACACATGGCATAAGCGGGTCAAGCTTGAAGTACATCACGAGATCCCAGTGCATTCGATTTAATTTTCTTCCCCTTTCTCAATAGTTACAGCTCTGGCTCCTCCTGCCTTGTTTTGAGGGAGTGGGGGGGAGTGCTTTTAAGTCAGGATTAATTGAATTATTCCTCTTTCCAAGCTCTGAACCAGGACAGCCCTGGCGACCCCCTTGACTGTCTGCAGGTGGAGAAGGGGCAGCGGGGACCTCGCAGGTGCCACCGGTGATGGCTTTCAAGCTGGTGATGGTTGCAGCCTGGTAGAGGCTTCTCCCTCCAGGGAAGGACCACTAGGAGGCACTTCCCTCCCAGGAAAGGACGGCACTAGTACCTGACCAGAAGGGAGAGGAGGAGGAGGTCGGAGAAGAAAAGCTGAGGCCCTGAGGACTGAGAAAAGAAAAGTTGTAGGAAGCGCAGGAGGCTGCAAAGAGGTTAGAGAGAAACAGAAAGAGGCAGAACACCAATTAAAAAGGAAATAAAAATAAATAAATAAAGCACAACGCTGTCAAAGCCAATAGGGAAACACTGCAAAACTGCAGACCCAGGCACAGGTCTTGCCCAAGGGCTGGGAGCCCAGGACACCGCTCCCTTCCCTGGGGCGTCGAGGCCCCTTCTTGCCTTTTCCTGGTGGAAAATGCCTCCCTGAACCAAGGGGAAGTTTCATACTTCGAATGCATCACATGGTTGTATTTCATTGGAAAAGAAACTTAATCGCTTCTTTTAATAGAGTTTCTTTGGTAGTATT